TTCTTAATATCCAAACAGAAGAGTGTTGTGTTCCTGACCAACAAGCTCTGGTGCATGTTACTAGCAGGAGAAAAGGGGTCCCTTGGAAGAAAAGCATACAAACAGTTGATCTTTATCTCGTATATTATTTATAGTTTACACTGCTCGGTGATTATGCAGTTTGGACTCAATCCCCCTCCTCCTAAAATTGCAGGAACACAAGAATTCAGGTGAGATGCAAGCACAACAACAACAATACCCCAGCGCCTCAAAGGCTCCCGCCCAATGCGGGGTAAGGGGGGGTGAGATGCAAGCACAATACGAGGAATTGCTTTTAGAATTTGAAACACATGTAAATCACTTGTCTTGTTTTTTTATTTTTAGTATTTGAATTTTATACTAATAGTTAAGTATTAAGTCTTTTAGTAGATGCAAGGGGAATCAGGGCTGAAACTGAGACAGAAAACAGTGAAACACATGTCATTCACTTGTCTTGCTTGTTTACAATTTTGCCAGAAAACTGTGAGTGATATACAGATTGACTATCTAACACGGAAGCTTGCTGAAGGCGAGGCTCTTCAGATTGAAAATTTTAATGATAGCTCAATGCAGTATAACAGTAATAAGATTCACCTGATGGGGAACAATTATTTAAAGGACTCGGAGGCTATTCTTGTGATTAAACAGCTCCAGGAAAAGGTGCTTCTCAATTTAGTCCCTCTATTTCCTATCTTCACTTCTGTAGTTTTGTCCACATACTTTCTTTAGACAATTTTAGCTTTCTCGTGTATTGAACTAATAGATTTACTATATTAAACTAAAGTCTACTTAATCATTTTCAGATCAGACTGTTAGAGAAGGAGAGATCCTCAAGCCAAGAAAGTTTGGATGATGTAGTCGAGTTAGCAACGGAGCAAACATTATCTGCAAGGGAAAAGTACGCAGAGGTAATCAGGGTTAAAGCTTTTTTGCGTCAAACATTGAGGTACTCCGAATAGCATGCTAAGTATACGAAGTCAGTGAAGGGCCGGAGAAATACAATGCCTTTTTCTGATTGGCACTTCAAAAGCTTGATTAATTATATAGATTATTTGCTCTTCTACATTCAAATTGTAGAACTTTGCCTGCCACAAATACCTCCTCCCCCCCAAAGAAAAGGCACTCATAATGATGGACCTTCTTCAAACATTGGGTTCAATATACCCGAGTTCCATTTAAGTAATTGACAGTTGACCTACTCACCTACCTTCCCTAAATGATAGATTTATAATCTTGAAAATGTAAATTGCAATACATCAAACAACTAAAAGTTCACACATGTTTTGGAGAAACTGTGTACATCAAATACCTAAAAGTTAACTACTTTGGGGAAATTACCTAACAAATGTCAATTTTTATTTGAATATGAATGTTATTTACAATATATACTAGCATGTTTTGTTTGGGTGATTATTCTTCTATTCAGTGGTCTACTTTAGAACGTACTCCCTCCGTCCCACAAAAAGGTTCCACAATGGAATCAGCACAGTTATTAAGAAAAATGAAATCGTACGGTTGAAAGTGGTGCAGGTGAGAGAGAAACGATATGAGCCACGGAAAATTTTCTGTAAATAAAAAATGTAACGTTTTTTGGGGAAATTTGGAACCTATTTTATGAACCGGGAGTATTTCTTTTAAAAACATTTTTATTTAGTTTTGTTAATGTTGAGTAATTTATGTTTGTAGAATTGAAAATAAAGTTCTTCTAGTGAGAATATAGTCTTTTTTTGGGTCAAAAGATATTAATATTAATATAGGTGCTCGTTTTGTAAATGTTTCTGCTCATCAACCTTGTCAACCATTTGTGAGACACTAACACATTTCGCTGTGCTGGTGAATCAAATCTTTCAGGAGTTACTTTTTAGCTGAAATTGATGAAATTAAAGAAATGACACAGCCACATGCATTTTTAAGTTCTATTTTAATTTATTTGTTCTGAAAAATACATTTTGAATATATCTTGTTATACATAAATTAGCAAGCTCAACCAATTCAACTATTTCAGCCACAATTTCTTCAGCTTAAACAGACTAAGACTATTTGCTTCATCGTTTATAGTCCTTACCAAATGGGTTCCTACTAAGTGAAAATAAAACTTTTAGTCCATAGTTATATCCTGGTCATTGGTACACTTTAGTACCTGGATAACTGACCTCTTTGTTTTCGGCTATCATGGGGACCTAAGTGGAGAACTAAAAAAGCCACTTCGGGGAAAACTAAGGGACTAAAAGTGCTATTTTCCCTATTTTAAACGGTGGATGAGGATTACCAATGAAAAAAATGATATTTAATGCATAAACATGGATTATTTCTAGCCTCTTAGCACTGCTCAAATTAAAATTATGCACCTAATCCACAATGGATTACGTTGACAACAACAACAATGGGCCTAGTAAAATCTCACAGAAGTAGGGCATGGGGAGGTGTGTGTTCGCAGACCTTAACCCTACTTGGAAATAGATAGGTTGTTTCCTAGAGACCCTCGGCTCAAGCACAAACAAAGTAAACCAAGCAACGAGACATACAAGCACAAACAAAGTAAGAGCAAAGTAAGGCAAAAGAGCACACTATGGGCAGAGTAAGCACACTGAGACATGAAGCATAACTGACACTAACAACTAGATCAAAAGCACAGAAAGTACACAAAGACTAGCAAACTATCCTAAGGTAGTTGACATACTAGTGCTAGATCTCCAGACTCAATAGAAGCCATAAATTCTATGGGATTGTGACGTTATACGGTTTTACCCAACCATCCTAGTCCTAGATCTCCAGACGCAGTAGAAGCATTAAATTCTATGGGATTGTGAGGTTATAGCTCATAATGTATTTGACATGCTTGAATCATAGGTCTTTTAAACTATTATTTACATAGGTTTATCAAGAGCTCTTGGTTGCAAAAGAAGAGGCAAAGGGGGCCAGAGAGCAACTTGCTTCTGTAGAATTTGCTAAAGTAAGTGCAACACTTCACTTGAAGTTCCATTCTTTAACTCACACGTCACAGTCATATTTTCAACTAAATTTGCTTCAATATCAACTCTCTTCAGGAGAAAAACTTTGAGAGCCAGATTCTGGCTGAAGTTGAAAGAATGATAACAGAGGTTGAAAGCTTGGGAAACTTTGTTGATTCTACCATTCCAGTTATAGTGGATGATCTTTTTCAATCACATTTTACCATATCTACTTCAATTAATGTGAGTATTAAGTATTGACCACTATACCTAGTGAGTATTGGGACTATTGAATAATACATGTGCATATGTGCTACTTAAGTGTATATTTCATTAATGAAGACCACATGTTTGGTTAACGATTACTTCACCATTCCAACTTCAGGAGTTTAAGCCTATAATTCCAGAGATTTCTATGCAAATAAAATCAATTACTCATAACCAAGAGAAATTATGCTCTTGTTTGAGAGGGAGAATCAATGACCTTGAGGATGAGAAGGTATGATTCCACACTTGATGTTCTTTAAAAAAAAACCTTTTTAATAAAAACTTCTTTGTCATTTTCATTGGTATAACGTTTTAATTTTCTTTTTATTCATCATCAATTAAAATATAGGTGCTACTCCACAACCAAAATTTGGAACTTCATGTCCAGATAGAACAACTACAAAAACTTGTTCAGAGTTTTGACGATGCATTAGCTGTAAGTTATCTTGTATATTACTCCCAGTCCTTATTATAATGCACGATTTTGGTTTTCGCATAGATCAAGGAGATTATCCAAAGCATTTAAAATAATATTTTGTTTTCCTAATATGCTCTTAAATATTTTTTATGTGGAATGTTTTGATCCTGTATGATGTTTATGTTCTGTAACTGTTACCAAATACCAATGTCGGCAAGTACCTTCCAGGACTACTCAGAGAAACATGAAGGCGAGAAGCTTGAACTCCTTTCTCATATTCATAGTCTTCAGAAGGAACTCTCAAGCGTATCCTCTTCATCCTTTGCTAGGGAAAAGGAATCACTTAGAAAAGATTTGGAGAAAACAAAAGCAAAGTTAAAAGATACAGAGTCCAAGCTTAAGATTGCCATCCAAGAGAAAACAAAACTTGAGGTCTCATTCTCGGTGTTTGAAATTTGATTATTTTATATTTAAAACTATAGATCATATCTTTCGTTCTCTCTCGGATATATTAGGGTGAAAAAGCATGTGCCGAGAGGGAAATCAAATTATTGCATGGCCAGAAGGCCACTCTGGAGCGTGACATAAACAAGCATGACTCCATTATTGGAAGAAGGCGCCATTCTGTTCTTGATAGGAGTTCCAATGCATTTGAGGCTAAAAGAGCCAAGGGGTCAACCTCTTTGGCAGAACAAATTATGCAGGTAGGGAATAACTGAGCTTGAATATAACTCCCAAGGATTTTGCAAATGTTTTCATTATTGTTTATCTTTGTATAGGGATTGGGGTCAGTGAGCCATGTCCGAATGCATATTCTTTAGCTCGTCTCAATTCTCAAGAAGCATTTTTTACTCTTTTTTTAGCAATAATAACTCTATTACAATTGTAGTATCCGTTCTTACGTACTTACTCGCCTCCACAGGGGATTGAACCCGTGACCTCCCATTTGAAAGAATCACCTTGGTGCCATTGGACCACACGGTCTTTTTGGATTTAAATGACTACATTCTTACACGCTATATTATTTAAGCTTTATTATTTAGTGAGGATTTTTTTTCTCTTTTTATTTATTTGTTGTTGTTATTGTTGTTTGTTGTATTTATTTATTTTTGTAGGAAGACTTCAAGAAGCTTGAAGTCCTTGCGTTTGAGATGGAGACAACTATTGCTTCCCTAGAAGAGGAACTAACAATCTCCAATGAGGAAAAGGAAGAGGCGAGGAGTAGAGCGGAGAGTCTGGCAGCTGACATGCAGACATTATCTGATGAATTGGATGCATCAAAAGAAGAGTTGAGTGCTTTGAAGGAAGAGGCTTTGCATCTTGTATGTGTTTCTTTGTTTTTGGTGCAACTCATTCCATGTGCACTTAAACTTTAATAGTTGAACACAATATACTTAGTTGCTATTTATCACAGGCATCAAGCCTGGAAGAATCTAAGTCTCGCCATCAGGAATTGAAAAGCACAATAAACACATTGTTCGAAGAAAAGGAGGACCTTGGTATGGTATGAGATTTCTTGTGACTTGAACAAGTATATTCAAGTGGCTATAGTTTTTTCGGGGGTGGGGGGGTGGGGGGTGGGTTTGGGTTAAGTGACCATAATGCATAGTTATTCTGATATGATATGTGGATGGTTTGATTTTTCTGCAGCAACTTGCTGATGCCCTTTTAGCTATAGAGGAGGAGAAAGCTATATGGTCTGCCAAGGAAAGAGCTTCAGTTGACGCTATTGCAGAAACAACTAATTTATATAATGTTGAGATTGCCACTTTATCCAAGGGAATGTCTGAGGTAACCTTTAAACCTTTATATGCAAACTACTGGTTGAAAGTGTTGTAGATAAATATTTATGCTTTTTGGAGGAATGAATTACTTTCTGTATTGTTCAATCTAAAAGTAAGCACTTGAAGCTTATAAAAGCACTCCGTATTTTGTAATTTATTAACTTTTCTCTGACAAATGTGCTACAATCAGTTAAAAAACGAACTCGAAGTTTACAGAGAAGAGTGCAAGCTCCTCAAAGAAAGATTGACACAATCAGATAGAAGCACATCGCTTGAAAAAGAATTCTGGTTTGTCTTGTGTTTGACTCTCCAGTGTCATGTTTTATGCCTTTTTCATTTGTCTGTTCCCCATGCGACCTTCAATATTTCCTTCAGCAATGCTTGTCGTGCTTTTCTACAGTACTGAGAAATCACTAGAGATTGATCAAATTCGAAATGAACTAAGAGCTGTTGAGGAGCACAGTACAAAAACACAAGAGGTACATTTTATAGTATACTCGGTAATTTTAGTTGTAGCTTATTTTGTGTTGATTTTTACATTGGATGCTATTTTGTTCTTCTACTCAGGCATTGAATTCACAACTGGAAGTTGTTTCTTTAGAGCACCGTAACACTATTGAAGAGGTAGAGAAACTAAGGGTGGAATTAAGCATGCTCATCAGAGAGAGAACAGCCTTATTGGCTCGAATCAGGGAATTGGGTTCAAGAGATGATTTTCAGGTTTTAGCTTTTTTTAACCATTAACCCCTTAACTCTTTGTTGTTCCTAAAGTCTATCTTTGTAATTTGTATACTGCCGGAACTTTTCCGTGGAAGCAGAGTCCAAAGCATGATGAATTGGAGCAACTAAAGAAAACACTTGCCAGTGTAGAGGTCAAGATGCATAGTGTAAGCAGGACTTTAGCACCATATGTAGTTCATCCTTAGTAGTTTGGTTTTTTTTCCTTATCAACCTCAACCAACATATTATCTACGATAAGCTAACCAAGTTAAGCTAACCACTCAATAGCTTCAAAACTAATAATGAGAAAAATGGTCTTTGGCCTAAATTTGTCAAGAGTATAAATTGGTGGGGTTGAGTTGATTTCTTGACATGGTATAAGAGCTTTGCTCACTAAGAGTTTATGATTTCGAACCTCACCGCCACTCAATTTTAAAAAAGTGATGTCCAAGTCCAAGGCTCGAGAAAAAACAAATCTTGCCAGCACATGAGGGACATGGTAAAGTATAAAATATTTCTTGGACCTACAACCATAAAGCTTGAGCTTTTGGCTGAGTTGGTTCCTTAACAAAATCATATTCTTACGCCATTTTTAGATACCACTTCCTTTATATCATGTGTGTGAGTATGAAGTTATTAATAATAGTTTGCCCAAACAAACACCGCGTGCGCTTATGCAGGATGAGGTGAAGGCCAGTCTGGAGAAAGCTAAGCTTAGAATGAGGCTTCATGGGACCCAGAGAAAGCTGGATGCATTCCGAGCGAGACACACGGATTTGGTGAAAGGGATGGACCTCATGAACCAAAAATTCGAGACAGCTTCAAAAGAATTGAAGCAGCGCTTGGCTTCGTGTGGTCAAGAAATCCTCAGCCTCAAGAAGCAGCTTGCTGCCTGCAAAGGGGGGTGAGGATTATTACTTGTAGCTTAGACCTATTAACAACCACTAGGGGTAGATATTTTGTAGAGTTGAAATGGTAGTATTAATTAGCTCACTTGTTTAAGCTTTATGCATTAACCCTGTATCATTAAATAGCTCTGTGATGAGTCATTAAGAATTATCTTTTATTTCCTACCGGTTTGTCACTAGATTTTTCCTCACCCCGAGCTATCCTAGTCGGTCGTTAGGCTGCAATCTCGTGTGCCTATTTGGCGTCACAATTTTACAAGGGTGATGCTTAGTGTACACCAACGTCGAGACATGGTCAAATCATATATCTGAAGTGTAAGAATGAAACTTTATGTTCATGTTGGTATACATCAAGCATTTTTTGCTATTGCAAAAAACTCAACTACTCTTTATAAACACTAAAAAAATGAATACGTTTAATCTCTAAGATAGCCAAACACAAGAGATCAGTGTAACACATCCATAGTAATAAAAATACAAGAAACTCAGTAGAATTGACACAAGTGTTCTAAACACATCACATGATTGTTTGTGTGTTACAAACAATGATTGTCTGTGTCTATGAAATATAGTGCGTAGCGTACAATGATTGTCTGTATATGTTTGTAAAACACTTGGTGTGCAACTCTTGGTAAGAAATGAGGTGTGACCCCTAGCATTAGCAACATGACTTTGTCTATAATCCTGGCCTATACTTGTAAAGATATTAGTAATTGTTGGTGCATCACTGCATTAATTGTGTATGTGAATCGTTTGGTATCAAAATCTGGATATCAAACTTGATGCAACCCCAGCATGACTTTATTCATAATCATGATGCATACTTGTAAAGATATAATGATTGTCTGTGCAACACGGACAATGATTATTTGTGTATGTCTGTGAAATACTTGTTCTCAAATTCTTGATATGATTTTTGGCATGACCCTAACATGACTTTGTTCATAATCATAACTCGTAATTGAAAAGATATCTTTCAACAATTGTGACATGAGCTGTGGCGCCGACTCGAAAGGCATTTTCGTCAATCAAAAAAGAGGGGAGTAGCCAGTATGTATTGATCACAAGGTCTGGTTCATAATCCCAATGTAGAAGGAGAAATCTTTTGCCCCCATCAATGGCGTAACGACTTTGAAAATTAATGGACCGAACAACCCCTCTAAAACCTCTTTCCCGCGCTAGTAGTAATACAAGGGCCTACCTACTTTAATAACAAAATACTCCATCCGTCTCGCAGTATTCGTCCACTTTTGTTTTGGGCCAAAAACCAAGGGGATGGGTTAAAAGACACAATTGCCCCTCACCCAAAGTCTTTAGCTCCATCTATCAGCAATTGTTAAAACTCTTGGCAAATTGAAGGCTTACGGATTGCAGCGATTAAATGAAATACTCCATGGATTGCAGTGAAATTAAATGATCTACAAGAGTAATAAATTAACAAGAGACTAATTACTACTACCTTCGTCCCATTTTATAACGCCTGTTTCGGTTTACGATGTTTGACTGAAATTGTTTTCAAACCATTTTATATGACAAATGGTATAGAATTAAAAAATAAAAATTATATATTAAAAACTACATCAAAAGATCTACAAAACTAGTAGTGACAATAATATTTTATTTTATCAAATTGCTAACGAAAATAGAGAAATAAAATGAATGAAGTTTGACCCTGTGAATAGTAAACATGCATTATAATTTGGGACGGAGGAAGTACCATAGAGAGTAGTGATGAAGGGCATAATAAATGACGCCATTACTACCATAAATCATCCATTTTAATTCAATGTAGACAATACACAAGGGTAATTCCCAAACATATAATTTGGCCCAAATCTAAAATTGAAATCCAAATCTAAGTTCCCAAACACACCACTGTTTCAACTTTCATCAAAATTAAACAAGCTGGAAATCAAAAGTATAAAGTTATGAGTAAGGTCTAACAAGGCAAACATAAAAACTGCAGCATCTATTTTCCTGATGAATCAGAGAGAACAGTCTGTGTCTATAGTATCTTCCAATTGCGCTCCAAAGCAGTAGTTATCATACATATACAGTACGCGGCACTGAGTGGATAATCAGAAACTGCAGATAGATGACGATAAGGGAAGTCGATAAATCGATATGAGGTTGACGAAAAAAATAAAATAAGTTTTGGAAAAGGAAAAAACATCATTGAAGAAATTTTATTCCCCGTGTGGTAAGGATTATTTGGCTGAACCCGCTGGGTTTTCCGAAAAAAAGGGGAAGCCTTTGGTAACATCCATTGCAGCCAAATAGGAGGTTATTACTTGAATTTCTTTTGAGCTGCCAAACAGGGCCTTAAATTCTTTTAAAAACAGCAAAAGCACGAAATACAATAACGGGTATATTACTTGAATTTCTTTTGATCCGAGTAATCCGCACAACATAGTGCCAAGACAGTTCAGAAATGAGGACAGTAGAAACCAGATTACCTGAAACGATATCTTCAACGTAATCATTATCAATTTTTCCATGGGACATTGCACCAAGCTGCACATTTGCCAGGAAGGTAAAATGCTAGTTTGAAACGAAACAAATTAAAGCAATAAACGCAGAAGGGAATGCACTTTCTCATACCACAAAAACAAGGTTTGTATCACTGCCAACATTATCAACATAGTTCTGAATGTCAACTAACTTCTCTGAACTGTGTGAAAAGCCTGTCCGTTGTGAAGGGAAAATGGAATGGAAGAAATAATTATTTACCAGGCTTTCAATAAGGTAAAAAAAAACTAATGACCCATTTGGTAAGGGTTAGTTGGCTGCAATACTTGAATCTGAAAGGGAAATGAAGCATATAGTAACATCCATTTCAGGCAAATAAGCATATCAAGAGCTCTACTTTGTTAGATAATCGGGTTTGTTCACATATAACCAAATGGGTAATGAGTCAATGTTCGGGTCAGTTAGTATAGAGTCAATTAGTGTGGTGTCGTTTAGTGTGTTTTACATATTTAATTAATTAAAAAAACAGTGGGTAGTTTCTAAAAGGCAGTTATGGGTAGTTTCTATTGTTAATAGGTGTGTTGGTTTGTAATAGTTGTGTTGGTTAGTAAAAGTCATGTTGGTCTGTTCTCTATTTATACTTAGAGAACACAAATAATCCTGTAACAGTTTTACATCAATAAAATATTCTACTTTGATTTGATTTGGTCGGTTGGTCCTGTCTAACAATTGGTATCGAAGCAAAAATCCAATAAGGACCCAACGATCAAAGGGAGTGGTCT